CAAAATCAGTTTGAAGGTAAAGGAAAAATGGTCTTAATTGTGAGATTTATCTAGTCATAATATGCAGTCAATTCATTTGACTTGCTTTGATGTAATATTACACAATATGACAACACAATTTAAAATGATTCATTACATATAACAATTGTGAAAACAGGATGAATCTGCATACTATTTATCACACTAGATTTCATCACTATACTGGCTTTGTTAGTTTCCTTTATGTTTGCAAATTTTTACCTGGGAGCTGAAACTGTAACAATCGCCACCAGAGAGCTGCTGAAGAGTCGATCCACGAGACACGTGTCCTGCCCCGAGCGACTCGCATAGATTTCTTCAATGCCATCGTCAGGGGTCAAAGAAAACAGATGGTAGCCGCTACTGCTACCAGCTACCAGGGAACTAAACACAATTATCATTATTATTCATAATTTAACAAAGTGCCACATGTTAATTTTATTCAACAAAATATGTGATTTACAATAAAATATAAAGAATCATCTTATGACCTCAGTATATTTATTCTAATGAAATACAAATATTGCTCAAGGTCACACAAACTAGAAATAACAAACACAATGCAGTAAAGTCTTTGATGAAAAATATAACTGTCATTGTTCTTAACTAATTGTTTATTTTGGTATGACTGGCAGTGTACTAAAGAATTAGTAATGTATCTATATCATTACATTAGATACATTCATGTCTTGTTATTATGAGAAAGGAATATAGGCGAAAGTTGGTGCAAAAATCATATGTTTGTTGTATTTGTACGCCATGTTTGTTTACGACAGCTGTTGTGTGTGGGGGCACGGGCACGGGGCAGCGTCAGCGCCGTTACGAAACCGCTGGCAATGGCGAGTTGCATCACCTCATCACCACCGCCGCCACCGATCGTCCAGCCACCGCGATAGACTCTAATTTGTCACTTAAACAAACTTTCGCAATTGCTACTAGGGAATAAATTACCAGATGTTAGGGACTTCGAAAGATTAGACGACCCATGTTAACATCCTTGACTTTCTTATGATTACGATTTACCTAGGTATCTCATTTGATTACTTACGTGCAATCTTGATTAAATTGTACGAATATTCCTCCTGCATTTGTTCCCTCAGTGTTTTGACCTCCTCCTAAACTCATTGGAGCGTTCCAAAAAAAACGGCTTGTTCTAAAAGCTACTAACTACACTATACATACGAGCACTGAAAATATGTTTTGGGGCACTAAGTGTTCAAACACTTTAATTAATTATTACAAATTATTCGTCACAAGTAGATTTTTTGACACAAAGAATGACCTTGCTACTAAAAACAAGCCCCCTCCCGCACAACACAAATCGCACTCAAACATGCACAAACAAACACTTCGCTGATTCGCTCGTTTGTCCTTTGCCTGTGTCTATGGGCTTTGCAATTATATTTTGTTTTATCTATGCTATGTTTCTTTCACTATGGATTTTATTGATAAAAGTCCTCTACGCACTGTCCATCTTGCTTACATCCTATATCTATGATCTTGATGAAGCCAGCATGCGGGACTACGCTAAAAAAACACACGTCTTATATCCACCTCTTTTACGTGCATAGCGCGATCCCGCATGCTGGCTCACGCAAGATAGATATTTAGTGCAGATATGAAAGTGGCTTAAATAGTGGAAATAATTTTTTCAGGAAATTCACAAAATAAAAATTAAATAGTACTACGTCCATGTTAGCTAAGCTTGTTCAGTGAGCTACAGGTGCAAATAAATTCCTTATTTTTCTTACAGTCTCTTAACTGATTATTGTAAGAATAATGTTTATATAAAACTAGTTTTTACGGGTTAATGCACGAAAACTTTATTTATTTATTGACGTTTCGTAACCTTTACAGGCTTCGTCGTCAGAATAAAACTTTTATTTAATTTGTCGAGCTACCTTCGAAAGACTTTTATTGAGCGTTTGGTTATTTCATTGTTCGATTTTTAAGTTTTATTGTCATATGTATGAATTTATTATTCAATTTACTTAATAAAGTATTTTATTTAAAATTATTTTTTGTAATTTTTGAGTTTATTTATTTGACCCTAACTACCGTAAACTACTACCGGTTCCAAACTTGGGAGGCCTTTCTGAGAAGAACCGGCGAAACAAACTCAAGAGAGGCTTTCTATCTCCTTCTTATGTTAAATTATGCAAACAAAAAGAACTAATAGTATCTGATGGTCTTGCAGTGTGTGCTCGGGGTTGAGATTTTATCTCCTGTATAATAGGTTCCCAAGCTGGTGGTATATACCAACCATCTTCCCTATTGAAATTTGGATATTTTTTAATCTCAATAGCCTCGCGCATCATTCGAGGAACGAACCGCCGCTCAGCTGCAAGGATCTGTGGTCTATCAAATCTAATGTAGTGGTTTGGTCCCCCTAATGCATGTTCCCCTAATAATGTTTATATTGTAGACATATTATTAGCAATTTGAAATATTCTATCAGCAGTATTTAATCCTGAAAATTGGCCCACAGCACATGTTAGTACTGACTAACTTGTGCTGTGGGCCAATTTTCAGGATCTAAGTATGTATACGATCATTGTACATGCTAATACTATTCGTTCATATTTTGTCTATAGAAAATAACTAGGCTCTGGCGGCTTTGGGATTTTGGACTATTTATGAGCTATAGCGCGTACAAGCGCCGCCGGTGCGTATAGCAAGCAAGCTTATACAATGGTATCGATTCTGTCATGATTCTCTGAATTTAAAACCAAATTTAACATTATATTAGTGACACACAATGACGGCCGTTTTAACGTTTGTGAGTTCGTGAAGTTACTTCTTCTAAAGTTCTACATTTGAAAAAAGAAATGTCATTAGAGACGCACATTTAGTCACAAAAATTTAGGGTGTAGAATTAAAATTTTACTAAACTATATAAAATCATAGTCTTACTTATATTAAGTTTACAAAAATCTTTTCAAGTTTTTCAAGCCGCAGACGTCGACGTTCAGACGCGGACTTTATTGCTTCGCGGACAAAATGCCCGCCCCGCCCCGTCGTCTGCTCAACGCCTAATAAAAATTATAATTCATTAAGAATAATATATTATTAATTATACTTATTTTCCACATAAAAATGTGTTCCAAATTACAAACATAAAATTAACAAGTTCGTTACTATAGGATCGCTGAGCGTGAGTAAAAAAGTATGTCTTCGTTTTTTCAATCTTTTCAATTGGCAACTTTTTGCAATATTAAAAAGCGAGTGTTATGACCATACGACTGAAGTGATGGAGATGGAGCTAAACAGCAGTGTTGCCAACTTGGATTTTGAAAAAGTCGTAGGCCCGTTGAGAAAATTACGTAGAATTGGTAAATTTTGCATATGAAAAGTACGTAGATCTACGTACTTTTTTCTGAGTGAAATGAAGAAGCTAGGTGAAACTGAATAAAACGAGTATTTTGTTATACAATTTCTTTAAAAACGGGACATAGAACAAAGAGTTCTTGGAGAAGTCGCTGCATTGGAAGCATTTACCATGATGTGGTAGACAGTTACCATCAGACACAGACACTGGTGGGTGTCGATTCTGGCATGATTCTCTTAAAACTAAATTTAACATCAGTCTCTCCTTTTTATTCTGTATAGAGAATGACAAGGATACACTGTTGTTAAATAGGCTATTTGACACTTTTTGGAATTATGTTTTAAATTGTTAATAATTGTTCTATCACACCGAAAAAAAATGTATTTTTGAAGTTATACTTCTTTAGGCGCGTTATGAAAAAATGTTGAGAGTGAAATTTTAAGATGCGCGCGCATCACTGTAACACAAAAATTAATAAATAGGTATTCATATTTATAATATCAAAAGTATTTATTAATCTGGAACAACGGAACCAAAGCGCGATTCAGGAGACTACAGCGCCATCTCTTGACCATTGGTGTAGTAGAACCAAAAACCACATCTTTATTTTTTGTAATAAAGTAACAGTCATAGGTATTCATATTTAGAATATTTATCCACATGTTTCTAGTTTGTATATTCGGAATACGTGTTTGAGTTTCATACAAGTGCAAATCACATATGTTCTAATAAATTATATTCAGTAGCGATTTTAATTGAATATTTTGATTATTTATTTAATTTTTCAAATTAAAACTGAACTTTATTGACTGTGTCCTTTTCCAGACTTTTTATTAATTTATTGTTATTAATTATTTGCATGCAATTAAAAACTAATTTTAAACGATGCCAAAGAAGGATAACTTCTCACGCGCCTACATAAGTACACGCACCCTTTTTTTTTACCTAGAAGACATACAAAAACGCTTTTTATCTATAGACTTATCTATGCTATGACGTCAAAAAATTTGTAAACAAACACTCGCAAGCACGTAGGAAATAATTTTTCTGAGTTAATATTATAAAACATGATTTCTAATAGATCACATGAAAAATATAGTAGTTATCATCATACACTTGGTAAAAGACTCTAGAAAAGTTGTGGTTTAAATTGCCAAGAGAAATAAACATACTTACACATGAACACATGTTTAAATCTTGCTAAATCCTGTAACTTCATCGACTGAAAGTCATTTTGTAAGTACTCATTGAATAATATTTAAAATTTAAAAATACAATTTTTAAGGTTATGAATGTACCTACTAAGTCAAAGAGTTTTGTCGTTTCTGCTTTCACAAATCCTGCGTCCAGCATTAATTTAGTCAACAAAACCAATAACGGGAACCTATTCTATAAGATACAAGAGTTTTTAGATACATCTTTATAAACAATAAACATTTGTATAGTTTTTAAGTAAAATAACAGAAAATATTCTTCTTTGTTCTAGTGAATTAAGCTATTTTACAAATTTGAAAAAATTGAAGAAAGTACGTAGATTTTGTGACTGAAGTTAGTAGGTTTGCAGAAAAGGCCTAAAATACGTAGATCTACGTAAAAAGACGTAGAGTTGGCAACACTGCTAAACAGTTCACTTCAGTCGTGTGGTACACTTACTTAAAAGTACACTTTTTTTTCTGTGGGTGATGTGACAGATGACAGTGACAGTAGTGGAGGTATGTAAATTGTATTAATTGTAAACACGTGCCGTGCGTACTGTACTGTTTCCTTTTTTTACAATGGGCCGTAAAATACCTGCAAAGAAACATCGAGGTGTAAAAGATCCTAATGCGCAACAGGCCAGACGGTGGCAGAGGTAAAAACAAAACAATATCCACTTTTAAGTCAACTGTACTGTTTAATTGCTTTTGGATACAAAGTTATAATATAAATTTACAGCATTAAAGGAAAAATAAATGCACCTCCTAAAGATCCAGACGAGCAACCAGTGCCAAAATCTTTGACTAGGTTATTCAGTCAACATAACCCCAAATCTGAAGATAAACAGAAAAAGAAGAAGCGCAAAGCTGCTGCTAACATTTCAGGTAAGTTGCCAGCATATCTATTTATATATTACTATAATAATACTTATACATCTTTCAAACTGCCTAACTGATATTGCAGGCTCATTTATTATATTATAAATATCTTAGTTGGAAACAGAAAAGCACAGAACCCAGTATCTCAATTACGGAGGCTGCCTGGTGAATCGGGACGCAGCTTCTCTCTGAGAATCAATGGAGCAATCAGAGCACTCAATGACTCTGCAGAGGACTTACAATACCCTGTGAGTATATCAATCAATTCTCTTCTCAATTAATATTATAATTTAGGACAGCGAATTGATGATGATAATGATGTGTATTTTAAGTGGCCCTTATTATTAAATCTCAACTGGCTCAATTCATTACATTTTTAAGTAAGGACTTACAGCAATGCACATGTCAGTAACTTAACATGACCTAAAACTAAGGAATCTTAATATTATTTTACTAAAATACTTATGTAGCCAAACATATTAATGCACTTTTTTCACAAGTTCATATAATTGAGTGCCAAGACTGTACAAGTAGTTCATGACACAAATTAAACTGCTACTGTGATTATAACCTTTTTTTTTATAGATCAGTCCAACAAATGACTCCACCTTACCTGATGTTAAGTGACTGTGAAATCCAGCTGGTACAGCAGTTCTACCTGCCACACCAGCCATCCTCACCTTGCCGGCCTGCATGTTGCTTCTTCACACCTCTTTTAACCCATATAGACCTACCGTACCTTATATGGTACAGTAACTTTCTTAAATAATTGTGTCGTACCTGAGGGTAGATTTGTTTTTATTATTTATGCGAATGAACGAAGACTTTATAAGGCTTTAGTTTATAATGGACAAAAACGTAATAAGTTTCAGAATTTTTAAGTTTTCATTGGGTTTGTCGTAAAAATAATAGAAATAATCTACTATGGTTTCGAAAAGGTAAGTTCCACAATATTTATAATTGATTATAATATTTAGTAGTTTTTCTGTGAAGTTTAGAGTGTAAATAGAAGTTTGAAGAACAAAAATGTTTTACAATTTATTTATATTAGGTATATTTTATAAATCAATTAGGTGTACCATATGCGGTACAGTAGGTTTATGCATAACCAAAATAAACGGCAGCCATATGTTTTTAGATTTTTGTGTTTCATGGTTTAGGTCATTGAGGCTTTATGATATTGCTTCAAATCTTGAGGAAGGTGACGGTTTTTACGACCAGGGTCAAGATATTGACATTTTTTACTGTCGCCTGATGACCTTTAGTCTTCATCAATCTGGTCACCGCCAACGATGATCAGGCTGATGAAGACTTTGGTAAAGAAGATGTCGTTAGACATAAACAATTTGCCTCCAAGTTTACTTTGAGCACCAGCAGTACCTACTGTTTTTAGAGAAGAGTCGGGCGAACCATGTGAGTCTCAAGAACCCTTTCAAAAACGTGTAAAACAGTATAATTGGAGAAAAAGAGGCCTATAATCTGAAGCCATTACTGGGCTACCAGTTTATCACGTTGCAATAGAAAGAAGTCCGATAAAATGGTTTTCCTTGCTCTTTTCTGATGATGTATTTGAGTTGCTGATGACTGAAACAAATAAGTATTTAGAACAAAACTTCTTTCTGCTGATGTCAAGATGGAAGAAATGAAAGGTTTGATTGGAATTCTGTTAGTGGCTACTGTCAAGTCAGCAGAAGAAGTATGCTTAGAGAAAACAACAAAAAAAAAGATTCTGTATCTCAGCCACATCTCATTTACCAAAAAACAAAAACATGGCAGGTGTAAATTTATCAAATTAGAACATCTCTTCACTGCGAACCAGCATTCGAGGGAAAAATGTTACATGCCTCTGATTCTGCATTGCATTGATATATCTGTGAAAAATGCATGATTGCTTTGCAGACATAATAGCAAACACATGGACTCGCTAAGCTATCAGTGTCGAATTGCAAGTGCATTATTGATGGCAATAATCATAGCGAAAAACCAGATCTGAGTCGACTATCTTCAATAACTTTTGAGTCGTGATATAAAGAGCACTTTATTGCTAAGCAAGAAAAGAGAACCAGATGTGGACAATGTCACAAACAATGTTCAACAAGGTGTGTCAAGTGCAATATTGGCGGAGACGTGGAATATTTTATTATTTACCATTCAAAAAATAAGTAAATATATGCGTCGTAATGTCAAGGTTTTTTGTATGCGTATAGTCCTACTGTACCATATATGGTACGGCCCCCCCTGTGCCCCCCTTTTGTTATATTTTTATTTTCTTTATTTTTATATTAGTTTTTAAGCTCTTTTTAGCTGGCTTTTGTATAAAAAGCAAATTTTTTGTACTAAAATAATTATCGGTCTATATGGGTTAAAGGATCCCAGGTTGTAAGAAGGAGGCAACACGTGAGCAGGCAGAGAAAGTGAGACAAGTGCTTTCTCGGTCAGAAGGTGGAAATCCAGTTGTTGCATTAAGTGTTTGTAAAATCAACAAACTTCGTTGGCAGGTCGACATGGAAGACGAGGGGGACGTGAAAGGCGAGCGCATGGCCGAGCAGCGACGCAGGCGCGAACGCAAGCGGCGCCGCCGAGACAACGACCTCGCTCGCAACCACAACCGCAACCACGACCAAGACAACAAACAAGGCGACGACGTGCCCAAGCTCACGCGCGGACAGCGACTCACGCTCAAGAAGAAGGCTAAGAAGCTTAAACTGACTGAGGTCAGATCGATATGATATTGTTAAATGACACAAACTTTGCTTGAGACAATTGTTTCAACAAAATTAGGTGGCTAATGTGTATCGATTGTGGCATGGTTATTTAAAACAAAATTGAACATCATTCTCTCCTTTTAATTCTGTATTGAGAATGACAAGGATACACTGTTGTCAAATTTAATTTTATGTTTAGAGAATCACGCCAGAATCGACACCATTGTCTACTTTGGTAGCGCAAATACATTTGGTCGTTAGCCTGAATACGATTGCCAATGGAATTTCGGCAAACAACTAAGTGCAAATGAACGGAGTGGAGTACATCCGTCTTGGGGTAGTTTTCGTTTTGGTTACCCGACACCGTCTTCCAGCCTGTATTCCAGTGCAAATATTGCTTCGGTGACCAAATACGAGCAATGTCTTATGTGCTCGCGAATATGGCTAACGATTAAATGTATATGAGCCATAACTCTTTCCGCAATTTCTTTTGAAGCTTGAGTGTCAATGTGACACAAGCTTATGTTTTTCCCAACTAGGGAATGAAAAGATCACAGAAGGAGTAAACCTTGACCATACCAACATTGATCTAGATAATTTTGTTAGGTGTAAGAAAATCAATATTTACGTATTTTTCAAATCATTTAATGTATGTAATTGCTATGCTGGCTAGAGCCCAAAATAGATTAACCAATTTTATGAATTTATTAAAAAACAAATTAAATTTATACAGGAAGGCTCAACTGTTAACTGGAAAAGCAAACCTTTCTCAATCCAAGGTACTGCTCCTGACTGTACTTTTTAATGAATGCGTATGAAAAGCACTATAAAGTACCAGAGGATGTTGGTGTTTCGTCTTACAGGCCAGACATATTCTTCTTCATAATGGCATCTCTATTGGTACTATATGTTCAATGAGCTTCTAGGCTTATGTAGTACCAATAGAGCTTCCTATACCATCGGAAACATAACTAGCCTTTTTTAAGCTGCAAGCAGCGCCATCTCCTCACATTGTAAGAGTAACTCACAATGTCAAATGAATAAATTTCAAATGAATTAGAAGAAATGGCAATTATAGTTTAAACAATATTTATTCAATTTTGTTGTGTGGTCTTTTGGAATGTTATGGTCAGTGCACTGGCCCGGATAGCGAAGAGTGCGGGTTCGAGTCCCGCTGCCTTGTCCGCGTGGATTTTTGTCTAGGAAAATCGTCTTTAGATTTTAATAAATATTACGGTCATATAACCAAATCCTCAAACTCCTCAAAACTCAAAGGGAAACCCTGAAACCTACATCAGGGTTACAAGTCCCAGGCTACCCTTAGCACGAACCAATATGGAATTCGAACAGTTTGCGAGTGCGAAATGCCAATGCCACATTTTGTATGGAAACTTGAACAGCAGCGCCCCAACGGACGTAACGAGAACTAAAAATCAGTACACATTTGACGTATTTCTAAATCGAATTCAACTGAACGACGACTTTCCTGGCCGAGTGGTTTGTACGCCGGGTTTCATGGTGTCGCCGACTCGACAGGTCCCCGGGACCATGGATTCGAATCCCGGTGGGGGCAGATATTTGTGTGATGACAACGAGCATTTGTACTCCGGTCATGGATGTTTAATATGTATTTCTATATAAATATAAATGTACAGTATATGTATTCTATCCGTTACCCTAGTATCCCATAACACAAGCCTTACAGTGCTCACTTTGAGGTTAGGCTAAAATCGGTGTGTAAAAGAAACTATTCGAATTTGATATCGGTTTGTGCTAAGGGTACAGCTGAGAGTTTCTCTCTCTGTCACACGATGGAATGGATCCATGGATTGCTAAGAGGTTGGTGTCTCTCGTTCCTACAAGGTAGAGAAACGCGAAGTGGTATACGAGCGCGTGGGTTTCGGCGAGGTGGCGCACGCGCCGCCCACGCTGCGGTTCAAGAGGAACAACAAGGGGAACACCGACGGTGCTGCCAAGGTAAATTACCTGACGTGTATTCCGAATCAAACACCAGTCAGTACGCTGGCCAGTGGTAATGACGACATGATTTCGACGCCATATTGACAACACTACTACTACACCAGTGCAATATGGCGTCGAAATTATGACGTCATTACCACTGGCCAGCGTACTGGTTTATATTTCGGAATACACCCCTGACGTGCCCATGTAAACAGTTATTCCGTTTATCGTCGTTGCGCTTGGAAAAACCGACAAACGTCAAAATCAAAATTTTCAGGAGACATAAAAAACTGATTGGAGCTGAAATTGAATACTTAGGTGTAAAATCAAATATGCAAAAAAATAAAAAAATATGTTACACAATAGATTACAAATTAAGTTTCAAGAAACAATAACATCTCTTTGATAGAGATTTTTTTTTCATAATTTAAGACACTTAGCTGGTTTTTTTTGTGTCGTAAAACACCGTTATGTATTTTTCTGACACAAAGCTGATTTCCCGTTTAAGATTTAACACCCTTCACTAGCCTATATATCCACAAAACGTATTTATTCTATTAAATAGAATAGTTAACACGTCAATCTATATCATGAAATTTTTCAACTAGAAGGTACGCCTCTAGAAAGCCAGACAAAGAACATTGCTTTAAAAAAACATTTTATTAGACAGGAAGTAGTTTTAGTAGGACAAAAATTATGGCAGGTACTGAAATTTTCGCTGCGACATTTGGTAAACAAGTACACTAAAATCTTAGGTTGTCGTAGAATGAATGGTAATCTCGATGCATGTAAGGCTTAAACAATTGAAGTTGGTCGAATTTGCTTTTTTCTATTTTACTAGGTCTTTCGTGTAACAGTGCAGGTGATTGATATAACTCAGGTTTTCTTCGTTGTGGTAGCAGTACCCAGTCATCTGGGTGAAAATTTTTAAACCAAGCTTTGCCTTGTTTACAAAGCAGTGCCCTAATATCTGTAACAGTTGGATCTCCTGTTTTTTTGCTCGGCCGAATCGAAGCAAAGTTACTTGGCAAATCGTCACAATTTTTGAAGAAAGTGTGGGCGACGTTAGTCACTTCGTACGGCTTTGTTGGTCTTGCTTGTCGGATCCGGTAGACATAGTCGCCAGGGGTATATAGTGGTGGTTGAAAAACTTTTCTAGAGTAGAGTGCACACTGTCCACCTCCATCATTGTGTGCAAGGGCTACACAATGATGGAGGAGAAGGAGGATGGAGTCATTTTCCAAAATAATTTGGTCGATGACTATCGATTCTTTATTGGAAATGTCAGGCAATGCACTCACTCAGACTTTGTTTTTGATCTGGTATGCACAGCCATCTGATGTTAAACCAAATTTTTGGTATCCATTCGATTCTTTTAGTTTTTCCATAAAATCGAGAATGCTTGTTACAAACTTAGTTTATTATTGTTAATTTATATTGTAAAATATGTATTTGCCGTTTTTCTTTCTTTGAAAGGCTGGTAACTCATTTTCCTAGCAACAAAAATAATAAACGGAATACATTTTCGTCAATGATTGCAGTGCATCGTCAACATATATCCTGGAACTGTTTGCGCGACAATAATGGCTAGGCACCATCTGTAGCACATCTAACCACTTCGTAACTGAATCAGATTTCAATGTTTTTCGTTTGATCTGGTTTGGATTATTACTTGGCAATGTCATTGATTCTGTTGTCTTGTTGTTGTATGTTTCGTGGCATCTTCTGCTCTTATCCAATCTGTGAAAGATTTTTTTTAATATCTAGTGTCGCTAGTTAAAAGTCTCTGCAAAGTCTCAGTTTGATACCGTCATGTCTCGGCAAATAACAATCAATGCCATTGTTTCTTTTATGATCTGTTTCTATTAAATCTTCCGATGTCTTGCGTCGCTTGTTAATAGTTTCCTATTGAAATTTGGATATTGGCTATTGAGATTAAGCAATATCCAAATTTAAATAGGGTAGTTAGTTGGTATATACCTCCAGCTTAGGAACCCAGATAAAATTCTTACCCTGAGCTATTAGACATAGACCAACAGATACAATTAGTTCTTTTTGTTTGCATGATTTAACATAAGAAGGAGAAAGGAAGCCTCCCGAAAGAGTTTATTTTCGCCGGTTCTTTTTTGGAAGGTCTCCTAATTTTGGAACCGGAAGTAGTTTACGGTAGTTAGAATCAAATAAATAAACTTAAAATTATAAAAAGGAATTAACGAAAGTACTTTATTATTTAATTAACTAATATATTCATGCATAGACAATAAAGTTTTAAAAATCTACCAATAAAATATCCGAATGCTGAATAAAAGTCTTTCGAAGGTAGCTCGACAAAGTAAATAAAAAATCATTATTCTGAAGACGCATTCCTGCAAACGCTGCGAAACGTCAAGAAATAAATAAAATCAGCGCATCTAACGACGGAATAAAAAGTTTGAAGATAATAATTATATATAACAATATAGTATTTTAACGAAATGGGTAGTTTGAGGTTGTGTTTAGGAAAATCACCAAAAACTCACTTTTTTACATTTATTTCCACGGTACTGTTTGTGGAAATAAGTATTTCCGTATGTTCTGCAATAATTTCAAATCCAATCCTTTACAATAAGTTAATAATGTGAAACTTGCAATAAATACTTGTTTAACAAACAAACAAGTTAAATAGTGTAGTTTCGTTTGCACGCCAAATAAAATTACCGCCATGTGCAACATAAAGGCGCAGGAATAGCGCATCGACTATGAGTGGAAAATACGCTATGTATACCACCGACACAAAGCGCATTTTGACGCCTATTTTTCTTTGACAAATACATAGCTGTTTATGTTACTTTTCTTGCAAACTGACTTTTGACAAAACGGGTTTTATAGCCCTATCGGGCGTCGCAAATTAAGCCAAAGTAGCCACAAAGCTCAATTTCGGAAAAAATACGCTTGTCGGATTTTCCAGGCGCAGCGACGTTATATTGATGTTATCCATAGGGGAGGCCTTGTTTATTTATTCGAAATGTACACTTCCAGCTCTCTGGCCAACACATACATTTTAGAATAAAAATAAAGTACAATAATTGAAAAAGAATTGTGTGCTCGGACCACACATAGAAAGTGAAACTTTCTTATATAACCTAAAATTAGGCGGTGCATAATTCATAGAGGAATGGAGCAGCGCACGCATCACTCATATGTATGTATAATGCGATTCAAATAAGAATAGGAAAGCCAATGACCTCCATCTGTCAAATGTCGCTTGAAAAGTACAGTTTGCAAAAAAATCTCAGAACACTTTTTTAGCACTCTGCTAATTCTAAAATCAAAATCAAAATCAAACAAACAATAAAAAATATTGATATATAATATTGGTTGATATTTTTTTTCATTTATTGAGCTTTGGCTATGAATGGTTGATAACCTAAATCGTCAACCAAATGTCACTTTATGTTGCTTTCAGAAACTCGATTTAAAACTTTTGTTTAGATATAGGATGCATGTTCGTATGTGACCTGTATGATTATTCTTAACTACTACGGCGGTAATGCAGAGATGAGCGGAATTGAAGAGCTAGATTCTGATTAATGTTTTTTCTCACACAGTCTTAATAAAGAAATATTATTAAAAATCGGTTGTTTTTCCTCTCAATGTTAGTAAATTAATTTTATTAAAAAATCTGATGTTTTTTCTCACTTAATCTAAGTAAATAAGTTTTATTAAACAGAAACTTTTTTTTGCTCACTCTACCTGTTTGGTTTGAATTGACAGCTATGATGCCAGTCGGTCCTATTCTTAGTTGAATCGCATTATATATATATTCGCGCGACACTCGTAGCGTTTCAGCCTTCGCCGAGTGGATTCTTCTTACATTAAGGCGATTCGCACACTGTCTACGTACTACGCTGCGGGGTGCAAATCCGTATCTCATTTCACAACAGCTTGCGGCAGTGCAGACAATTGTTTTCTATATTAATGCGAAACTCGTTCAGGATGCTGCTGTTATATTATGTGTTTGGTTTTTGTATACTCGAATTAGAAGAAATTGTATACAGAACAATTAGAGGTACTTGCAAGCAATGTAACGCTCCCGCGCTACGCAGCGTTTTACGTGTCAATATGATAATCGCCTCGTATAGATAGGCTGAAGCTCGATGGCGCAGGTGGTCAGCGCGTTCGGCTGGCATCGTTGAAGTTAAGAATCTTCAGCAGTGGTCGGTCATTGGATGGGTGACCAAACATCTTCTATCTCGAGTTCCTCCGTTCCTCCGGAAGGCACGTTAAGTCATTGGTCCCGGCTGCATCTGCAGTCGTTAGCACCCGCCAATCCGCACTGGGCCCGCGTGGTGGCTCTCGGCCTAATCTCCCTATTCCATTCATAGGGAAGGGCCGTGCTCCAGCAGTGGGGACATTAATAGGTTGATGATGATGATGATAGATAGGTTGATGGTGATTAAAGAAAAAACTATATGTTGTTGTTGTTAATAAATAATTTTAAGAATTATATTTAACCATTTTTGAGAGGAACATCTATAAAATACTTAAAAAAGGATTAAAATGGATTGCTCGCTTGAAACTAAGCGTTGGTTTGAGAAAATAAAATTCATCTTACCACCATTATAACTGATGTGTTGTGTTCCTGTTGTTGAGTATGGTTTCATTGTTCCATGAGCTAGGTTAAAGATCGGCAACGCTCATTGTACACCTGTGTTATTCAAGCTTTATCAAGCAATATAGTATTGTATGTTCACCTCTCGCGGTGCAAGAAAACTTGTCATGTAGTACTAAAGAAGGATCTCGATGGCGCAAGCGGTTATCGCGGTCTGCTGCGATCATTAAAGTTAGTAACTTCCACAGTGGTCGGTCATGGATGGGTGACCAGAAAATTTCTATCTCTCGCTCCTTCGTGGTTCGGAAGGCACGCGAAGCCTGCATCTGCAGTCGTTAGCATCTACCAAACCGTATTGGGCCCGCGTGGGGGGGTCACGGCCCAATTTCCCTATTCGATGCGTAGGGAAAGCTGTGCCCCAGCAGGGGGGACATTAATAGGCTGATGATGATGTACTAAAGTCGTCCCATTTGGTATGTGTCGTAGGGTGTTCGTAGCGGGCTGCTACTCAGCAGTATGCTGCAGCCCTCCCCCTCCCCGTCCGCGTCCCCCTTGGGCGCCCCGTCGCCGGCAGACGCGGAGCGCCGCGAGCGGGCCCGCGCGTCCGCGGTGCTCGCGTACCGCGCGCTGAAGGCCCAACTCCGGACCAACGGCGACTCCGCATCCGCAGGCAAAAAACTAAACCGACCGCGACCCACTGTAACGCTATAGATTTAATAAAAACTTGTTACGATCACGCAATTTGTTTTATTTATTTATATCCCGACACAGTCCAGTCCAAGTTGTACATGTAGATTTTATAGGTCAGAGGAGCGGAATAAATCACAATGACGAATGATACTTATGTTCTGTGAAATATATTTTAACTAGGAACCTGATACGACTGACTCCTAGCACAGCAGAATACAAAGTGAAGCAAGTTTATAAGTGAACTGAATGCGTGAACGATCGAATGAGTAGGGGTTGAACGAACGAATGAAGTATTTGAGTTAAGACTGAATGAACAAGTATACTTTGACATTATCTAGTCATGTTACTTTTTATTTATTACAAAAGGAATACAAATTATAATATATATATATAGATTATTTTTTGACAATTTAAATCGTTTTGACCTTGAGCTTACTCACGTAATATAATGGAAGGTGACTTCATGAAGCGAGATGCTTAATGGCGGCTCTGTAAATAATACAGGGAGAAAATAACAGCCCCAACTGAGTTTTTAGACAGTTCTTCTCATTACGAGGTCTCCCGCCGTAGACCTCCGAACCGATGGCGTTGCTTCCAGTTCTAGATATTCATGAATGCTTGTGAATTATAAGTTAGCACAGCTGTAAAACAATAACACATGATTCCGCAAATGAGCAACATGAAAAACAAAACGCAGGAAATAAAAAGAAAATACTAGCTGTTGTTCTACCCCCCAAATGTGCGCGGTAGCCCTTAAACTGCGAATGACAGAGATTAATGATGTGTTGCCAGCCGGTTGAACCCGGCAACCTAGCAAAACAACTCCCAACACCCACAAATAATGGGAAACCGCATGGACTATCTATGGGTAGATACAGTGTTTACATATTTTCGTGCATCGCCTGCGGTATAGTTAGGACCGTTTATAGTTTCTGAAGTAACTAACTAAAGCCTCTAAAACTCAAATAAGTTAGGTATAATAAATGTTTATGGTCTATTTTGTAGTTATATTTTCTTTAGATTTAAACATCGAGTAGTTACATGCTTAAAAAATAAAAATTATAACTATAAATCTTTATTTCAGGCACATTAAGTTCGAGTACACCCATATAAAAAATTACAATTGCAATTCGTCCCATACTTATCTTCAAAATAGATAGTTGTATCAGAACTCGTCAATTAATAACATAAAAATTATGATCATTATTGAATTCAATTAATAATAATAAAAAACAAGTAAGGGTCATAGTTTTACACAATAAATTAATATACATTATTAAAATTATCTTCAATTATGCATTGCAATTTGCAAACATTGGTGATATTGACGTGTCGGAGTGGTTTGTACGCCGAGTTAGGTAGGTATCGCCAACTCGAGAGGTCCTGGGTTCCAATTCCAGTGGGGGCAGATGTTTGTGATGAATATGAGCATTTGTACTCCAGTCATGGATGTTCAATACGTATTTCTATTTAAATATACTTATATATGTATTCTATCGGCAGCGTTGCCAGATTCTTTTTTTGCCAATTCGGGATTTAGGAACTTTTTGAGTGAAAAAAGCGGGATTCTTTCGTCAAAAGCGGGACATAGTAAAAAAACGTATATAATCAAATGTTTTTGAATATTTATTTTTTTATTTGGGTTCAAATTACATTTACGTGACAATAGACTACACCCGCTCGAGCTTTCTCAGTACGCTGCACGCACGGTCGAGTTATTCCCGAAAAGCGGGATTGAGTCTTCCGCGCGGGACATTAAATTTTGATTTAAAAATCGGGACGTCTGGCAATGCTGTCTATCGGTTACCCTAGTTTCGGCTAAAGGACAAAGTATCCACGGCCAGAATAAATTAAAAGAAAAAAAAAAGTTACCCTAGTATCCCTTAACACAAGCCTTACAGTGCTTACTTTGGGGCTAGGCTAATTGGTGTGAGTGTTGGAAATATTTATTATATTATATGTATATAACAGTCAGTTTACTGAGTTGATATATGTTATTGTTGAGTACATTGATGCAACAATTTTAAGTATTATTTGACTCGTCCAGTCTCGTGTGAAACGATTTCTTTAATCTATTTGACAATGCATATATTTTATGTATATCGGTCACATTGTTCTCAGTGAACACACCGGTCAGGTAGACCAAGTATTGCCCTCAATACGTTGTTGTAGGTAGTGTATACGAAGAGTATTAAAATCATTCTTCGGGTATTTAATATCGTTGTTTTTCGTATAATTTAAAGAACTAGAGTACTTACGTTGTCGCCAGAGAAATATTAATATAATTATTCTATGATCGACGTAGACAATTATGAAGATAAAAGGCTTGCAATGGGTAGTCCGGTTTCTGAAATTTATACGTTGGCCGATAACTTGGCTATACCACCATTATCTTTCGACTAACACCGTCCATAATACCAAGTAGACGTAGGACTTACTAAATCTCTTGATCCCATATAACTGCCAAGCCATAGCATAAATTTAATTTCAGTCTTCAAAAAAAAAAAACACATTTTCACACTACGCCTGAAACTCCTACGACTGAAATTTAGCAATACTTTGCTAAATTGCTATGCTCTCTTTTGTAGGAGTCTTAAGCAGTAGTATCGACCAAACTCGGAAGAACCTGAAAAAAGTAATACAATATTTGTAAGATTCTTAAAATTAAAACAAGTTTCAACGGTATAGATGCACTGATTTATTTATTTATTGATGTTTCGCATCCTTTTCAGTATGCGTCGTTTGAATTATGAAGTATAGCATTAATTTCAAAATTGAATAGATCTTTATTTTGTGGTTGGCAGTCTAAATAATATTTGCCCTGTCTCATATCATCCCCACTATTAAAACTAACAGCCCAGATCAAACAAGCTTCTATATTTGTTTGACTTGTTGTATAAATACATGAGCCTAGCGTTTGCCATCCGTCCGGATAAAGCCTGTCAGTTTTAGGCTTTTTGATCTCTTGCCCAGGCCAATTAGACTGCGTCCGGTGCGTCCGGCATTTGTGAGGATTTGTTTTATTTTGACTCGAGCTTCCCGCTCACTTAACCCAAGTTCGCCCGTCGTTCAGGCAAAAATACGCAAATGAAAATAATAATACCACCAATTAAATTTTTTTTTATCGAATACGTGTTTTTATTTTAAATCTTGGTCAAAAATACTTTTATTTGGTGTCCATGGGCTCCAACAGTCAGTCAGTATGCCGGGTTTTCTGATTTTCAGAGATTGACACGCTAAATGGGACGTAAAAAAAATGGATGCGTGTAACATATGTACGCGCGTGAGAAGTTATACTTCTTTAGCATCATTAAAAATATTTTTTAATTGCATGCAAATAATTAATAATTACAATAAAATAATAAAAGGACTGGAAAAGGATAGTTAACACAGTCAATTAAGTTCAGTTTTAATTTGAAAAATTAAATAAATATTCAAAATATTCAATTAAAATCACTACTGAATTTAAGTTATTAGTCATGGACTAATATGTAATTAGCACTTGTAAGTAACTAAAACACGTTGTGTCTATATAGAAACTAGAAACATGTGGATAAATATTATAAATATGAAAACAGTGATCAAAGGCGACGAGCGTGCCAACATTGTTTTTGACAACGCGATCATCTTATGGAGCTCCGTGGATCGTTCAAAGTACCTACCTTTCGAACAGATGTCTAATAATGGTGGATTATTAACCACTTAGTGGTACACTAACATTCATAACGCGCCCGCGGCCAACTTCATGGTGTTACTTTTGTGTTACAGTGATGCGCGCGCATCTTAAAATTTCACTCTCATAATTTTTTCATAACGCGGCTAAAGAAGTATAACTTCAATAATACCTAAAATACTTGAAGATAGGCACCGAAATAAAGCTGGAGGTAAGTCTGCTGGACGTCGATAAAGTTCAATGTTGAAATGCAAGTTATCACATCACGACATTCTGCCAGTCTGCACGAGTGCACGGCATGATAATACGACACTCAGCGACCCAATGTCCATTGACTTGGAGTGATTTCTGAAAGATACCCAAACACCATTTGATTTTTGTATTTACGCTACACATTTTACAATTACTGCTCATGATAATCTCTTCGTTTTAGAATTTAGATTAGTCTCCCGCTTTGTTTACGAACCGACGGTATAAAGTTGACGTTCACAAGTCAAGACTGAATTTGAATAATTATTTAAGGTATTCTTTTAAGAAGCTCGACTCTTTACTCCCGGATTCCCGGAAAGCGCCAGCAGGTGAAGTGGAAGTGATGATAAAGAACACAGATTAAATTGATTGAATAGGCTAGTTTACTCATGTCGAATTGTATTAAATAAATGTTTATTTCTTAAAGTGTTTAGTCTAAGGAACCTTAATATATCGATTTCACTTCATAAAAGCAGAAGATTGCTGTAGAAATTTAATTTTAAAAAATATTTTTTAGTCTATATTTTTTAAACACTAAAAACGCTGTTCGCCACATTCGCCATGATTTTGACGTCTCTTATGGTAAACAACTAAATGTCATTCGCGTGTTACTGTAGGTGGATTCTTTCGTCTGACTAAATTTATCTTAAAACACTTTTAACTTTAGGAAAGAAAAAAACAGTAAACTTAGTTTTTTTTGACTAAACAAATTATGGATGCCGGCTTTGTGAAAGCAGAAAGCACAAATCTGCCAAGAATTGACGCATTGATGGTTGGTGAATTTGTTGCACTAAACCCCGATTTCTGCTCTGCGGAGCAGAGAAACGACAAGGCATCTATGTAAGTACCGTGCATTTAGTATTACAATGTAGTAATAAACATAAAACTGATACAACATATGAATAAGTGTAATAAAGTTGCGTAGGTTAATTTCTTTCGGCACTTTAATCCACAACTTTCCTGGAGTCTTCAAGGATGTGTTTTTATATTATCGTACAATACAGTAATGATAATTACTTTATTTTTCGTGGTATTTATTAGAAATCATGTTTTTTTTTATTAAAAACTCAGTTAAAAGTAATTTTCTACGTGTTTACGAGTTTTTGTTTACCACAGTTCACGTCATA